CCTCGTCAACCAAGTTTGGGGGGTCAGCATGGAGTTAGATCTGATGCCATTAACTATGTCGTAGGAAGGTTTGAAGAAAAGAGAATTGCTTTTGTTCAAAGTATTACTCACAGATAAACCCTTGTGCTGTGCATGCTCCATATAATAGTTGAGTCATGTATACTGGATGTGGCTTTTAATAGGAGTAACCACGAGGCCTGTGCATCTTGCCGTATAGATTAATATCTTTTTGCGAAAAAATTGTGTTTGTGCCTTCTGAAAAAAATAATCGTGTTTGTATCAGTCTCTCTAGGTCTAATTGGCAATTTGACAGGTGTTTTGCTTGCAGTTGTTCACATTTTCCTGACTTCTTCAGAGATCCTAAAACTTTCTTGTTAATAACCTTGACTTTTTCAGGCTCTGGGAAATCTCTCTGAAGAGACTCTGGAGCGAGGATTGTTAACCCCAAAGAGCAACGTTTGGAGTTTTGGGATTGTTCTTCTTGAGTTGCTGACTGGCCGGAAGAATTTAGACAGTCGGCATCCAAAAGAGGAGAGGAATTTAGTGAAGTGGAGCAGGCCTTTCCTAGCTGATGACGGTAGATTATCGCTAATCATGGATCCTCAGTTAAAAGGTCGGTTCCCTGCGAAAGCAGCAAGGACAGTGGCTGATATTGCTCAAAGATGTCTGCAAAAGGATCCATCTGGAAGGCCCACCATGAGAACTATAGTGGAGCAACTCAAGACTATACAAGTGATGAAGTACCCTTCTAGGTTTCCTCTGCAAGAGCCAGGGGCAATTAGTGTAAAACACATGTCAAAGTCTCCGAGCTTAAACGGAATCATTACACCAGCACCACGGTTAAGCTTCTCCCCGTCACCACCGATGCACCCTCTATCTATTTCTCCCACAAGGACTGCTGCTCCATTCTTGTCTCTACCTTCATGTTCCTCCAACCTCTCTATGGAGGACCTTGATCGACTGGAAAGCCGGAGGCCATCATCTTCATCTGTTCGGAGATCTAGTGTTGAAGGATTTTGATTGTTTGTAGAGAGCATTTTTTCATTATTGTTTTTTTCTTTTTTTTCTTTTTTCTTTTTTGGGGCCTTCCCTTTTTACATGAAAAGATATAGAAGATAAACTTGTGGCTTTCCACCTTCCCTTTCCTCAAGGAAGAAGATGTGAGAAATAACATTTTGTAGATATGGTTTCTATTTGGTTTGAGTAGTGTTCCCTAATCGAGATCCTGAGGGAGATGTTAATATGGCTTCTTTTTCTTTTTCTTATTTACCCCCAACCCCTCTCCTGGAAAAGAAATGTAAAAAAGGAAAACGAAAGAGGAAATGAAGAAAAAAATTCCCCTCCTAAAGTTCTGTATTTTGTTGAAAAAGAATGTATATTTGCATAGTGGTTATCTTAAGGGCAATCCTACTTAACAAGAATTCTGCTTGACAATGGTATGGCTGGTGCAAGCTTGCTACTAGAAAGAAAGAGCAAATATCAGCTAATGTAATAAAGGAGACAAAGCTGTTATCATATAGTGGAAACAGATTCATAGGTTTTATGTAATTTATTTAAAGATGAACAACGTTGCTACTCACATCTTCTTCATGATTGTAGTTATCTTCTTGATACTATTGGAGTGGCAGAAATAACACATGTATATCGGGAAGGCAACGTTGTAGCTGACGCTCTGGCAAAATATGGAAGCACTAGGCAACAAATAACAATGGAGGAAGATAGTATTATATACTGGGAAACACCTCCGGTTTTTATTTTACAAGTTTTTATTAAGACAAATCAGGAAAAACTGCAATGCGATCTATCCCTATGTAATGTAACAACTAAAACTTCTATGCTTTTAATATAATAGACTACCCTTTCATTAGCAAAAAAAAAAAAAAAAAAAAAAAAAAAAAAAAACAGTAAATGTTGAAGTGCTCTTATATCACTGATAAAACTACATGACCATTAACAAAGGGGAGTGTAAGCAATACATTTCTCTTTTCTTGAACAGCCAGCAGATACACCAGTAATTGCAGCAATTTTTCTTATGCTAAATAGTAAATATACTAGATATTTCTTTATAATAAAGCTCGCCACCAACAATGAACTAAGCCTCAATTCCTAACATGTCGACTATATGAATCCTCTATATCAATTCCCGCCATTCAGACCTATTTCATTCATGAAAAAGCACACAGTGACAATGGAGTCAATACACTTCCAGGGTTGAATACCTCGTTCCCGCGCATATATACCACCTCAGGTTTATTTCTTGGCACCACCCCACTTTTCAATGCAACACCATACAAGTAACAAGCAGTCAATGGCTTTCCTTGTTGATTCAGCTCATTGATCAACAAGCTAAATGGAACACTACTGGTAGATTTTCCAACTTTCAGCATGAGAATAAAAACTAACAATGCCTTATCAACTTTTCCCTCCAAACAAAGTACACGAATAACATTAGAGAAAGTGAATGCCTTAGGAGAATACCCAATTCTAACAACCTCATGTAAACTCTCCAGTGCTTTATCCAACTCCTTACCACTACAAAAAGCTTCAATGACCAACTCATACCCAACAGGATCAACAACCAACCTTCGGCTCTGCATTCTTTCAAACACTTGATATGCATCTTTTAACAACTCTTTTTCCTTCCTAGATTGCCTGCATAACCCTCTCAACAAGGAATTCATCATCCTTCTATCCACCTCAAAATCAAGATTTAACATCTCCTTATAAATTTTCAAAGCAGCTCTAATTTTTCCCCATTTCAACAACCCATGTAACAATGTACTATAAGTTATATGATCAGGCACGCAATTTTGTTTCTTCATTTTTTTCAACAATTTAATCCCATCTAAAGGCCTTCCTTCTTTAAAATACCCGTTGAACAAAGTATTATAAGTAACCACATTAGGTATCAGCCCCATTTCAAGAGCTTCCTCAAGCAATTCTAGTGCTTCATTAGACCTACCAACCTTACAAAAACCATCCATAACAGCAGTATAAGTATAAAGATCAGGTTTTTTATTAGATTTCTTGATATTCAAAAGCAACTCATAAGCTTCTTCCACTCTACCAACAAAGCACAAACCTTTAAGCAAGCAGTTGTAAGTATAAATTGTGGGTTCACATCCAATTTGACCCATGACTTCAAAAACCTCATAAGCTTTTTGCAATTTTCCACCTTTGCAAAAAGTATTGATTAAAGTTGTAAAGGTGGCAACTTTGGGTTGAAACCCATCTTTCAACATGTTACCTAAAATGGATTTGGCTGTTTCAGGGTCATTTTTTTTGCAGTACAAACTGACCCAAATTGAGTATGTGTTACCATCTGGTGCTAATGCATAAGATAATGAGCTTAGTTTCAAGGCTAACTCAAACTCATCTGCTAAAACCAAAGAGATAAGCAAATGATTAAAATCAGATATGGTTTTAAACCCACCATTTTGCTCAATTATTCGTGAAATTTCAAGATTTTGTAAAGTGGATGAGGCTTTAATAGCTTCAAGAATATCTTGCCACTGGGAATTAACAGTACCCTTATTATCAAGATGAAGACTGCAACTTGACTGAGTTTTTATCGGAGCAAAGTCAATATGAGTTCTATGCAAGGGTTTGAGCGTAATGTTAAGAAGAGGTTGAACAGTGGAGATTAGAGGTGAAATAGAGAAAAGGGAGTGTTGCTGGCTAGGGGAGATAATTAAAGAAGGCATAGCGTGGTTGCACCTTTTTGCTTCTGTTGCCACAATAAGGAAGAACTTTGACTTTTGTTATGAATAGTTTGTACATTAGATACTACTTTGGATACTATATTGGATGCCCATGTTGTGAATAACTTAAGATTAAATTTCCTACTTTATGTTCATCATATTTACTTTTTATGCATATAAAAGACCATGTAATTGCAATGGAAAAATCACCAAAGTGAAAGAAGAAAACACTTCTCCCTTCTTTCTATCTCTTCTTATTTACATTTTACTGCATTGCTTTTATTTTATTACACGTTATCAGCACGAAGTTCTAATTTTATTCTTGACTCCCGCTAAGTTGAGCCATATTTTATTAAGGTATGTATCATTATAATCATCTTATTTATGGCAGTACATATCATATGCTCACTGTTTGCAGATTACTTGTGCGCTTGGGCATCTTAAATAGCTTAAGTACATTGCAGTGATTAAATAACTATTTTCTTCCGTGCTCAACTCTTAGAGGACCTCAAAGTCATCAAACTAGCTATGCACTAATGTCATGGACTCCCTGGATCAAAACATATCTTTAAGGCATTTTGAAGAACTGTGAGAAATGAATTGACAAACAATAATTTTTTAATTACTTTATATTTATTGGAACATATAAATAATGTTAGTCACGTTCAATTCTATTAACACATATATATCAATAATATAAAGTGAAATGAAACAAGTATGTAATTTCTACTTTATGGCAAGAATAAAATGAAATAGTAGATTGTTAACATGATATAGCTCTAGTTTCATTTCTTTTACCTTAATCGTTTTGTTTTCATTAATTGTTTATTATTATAATTATTTCTCTAACTTATTCATCTTTTATGATAGTTTTCACTATGTCAAATTTATCAAAACTTGAATTTGTGGCACTTGATATCACTAGAAGGAACTATTTAACATGTGTTCTTGATGCTGAAATTCACCTTGACGCTAAAAGTCTTGGAAATACTATTATACAAGGAAAT